AATAGTTTGAACTTGCGTATGAGCAATTGAGAAACTGTTCTGTAGACAGCCTTGTGCTAATCATGTTGCACTTTCCATATTTTCCACAGATATAGCCGATTTAACTCCTTTGTATTCTATCTGAAGAAATACACATGTATAATCCATTTATGTTGTTTAAAAAGATACTTCTAATGATTTTGTTGGTCTTACACAACTCTACTCCGAGATCACCAGCATCGTTTCCATCACCAAGAGCATCTTGTCCAATTACTAATGACTCTTTTTATTTCCTGTTTTTGCAATTCCAGTTGCCATTAATTATTGATTCATCTAGTTTGCATGTTTTATTGTCTTCAGACTGCAGAAGTTGGAAAAAATCTCAAATTCAATTTTTATATTAATGGTTGCTGCATAAACTTGAACAATAGTGATTATTAACTTGTCTTCCTTGTAAGTGTATGGATATTATGCTGTCACTGATAACATTGTACAGCACAGATCTTGAAATGTTCTTTTTGCCACTATTCCTCTTCAGTGATCATTCCCAACTTAGTAGACCATTTCGTTGTCGCTGAGTGTCATCGACTTGGAACAAACTCAGAGCTGACCCTCCAGTGCGTTTTCAGAGGCAGTAAATTGCATGGAAGGAGATTTCTCATCTTTTTTCTGCAGGACAGCTGGTGTATTCCAACCATTTACCTTTGGATTGACAGCATAATCCCTTACTAAGCCCCCAGAGCTCTCTAGTAGAGCATAAGATTGTCTTAGTTCAGAATGGCTAATCCCAGTCCACTTATCTCACTAATGTCTCTAATATATATATTTTTTTTTCCCCAGAGGTTTCATTTTATTTTTGATGACTTAGTTTTCCTAGATTTATACTTCATACATATTTGATTATTAATGGATATTTACAGCTGTGTCTTCTCATTGTAAGTTGTGCCCCAAAAAGCTTTACTCGTCCCACAACATTACTTCCAGGAGGCAGCTCTCTAGTTGTGTTTTTAATACCACACAACCTAAAGGCCTGTTCTGCTGCTATTCACAAGGTATTCACTAGTCCTTCTTATTGGGAATTAGATTCTTCCTGCTCTTTCTTAGCCTGTAACAAGTTGTGCTGCTGAGCCAAAGGCCATATGTCTCCAGCAGTTCAAATCCACCAGAGGCTCCTGGTGTAGAAAGATTGGCAGACACAGTGGTGGGTTGCTCTGAGTTGGAATGGATTTGATGGCAGTGAGTGAATGAGCGATCTTAGTCTGGAAATTTCACAGAAACCTGCCCATTATAGGTGACCCTACTGATAGTTGAATTCTGTGACATAGATTTTGGCACAACAGCAAAATGAAAGCTACCATTGTACAACAAACTGACAGATGAAGATAATTCCTCTAAAAGCTAGTTTTGGCCAGTTGTTATATTCCATTCAGGACTTCTTGGATATTTCCTGATTCTGACATTATTAGCTATTATAGCAGAAATATAGTATGGAACTGTACTCAAGTTGTTTGCTCTTTTTAAGGAAAAACAAGACATGGACACTTGACAATTAAGCAGCAGTATACATCAATGAATATATGAACAAAATGTGGTGTATCCATACAGTGAATATCACTTACCAATATAAAGAAATGAAGAACTGACACATGGATAAACTTTGCTAGTACCTTGCTATCTGTTAGAACCCAATCACAAGGGACCACGTAGTGTATGATTCCATTTATAGTAATTGTATAGAATAGTCCAATGCATAGAAATAGAAAGTAAATTTGAGAATATCTAGATTGGGAAAATTGGCAGATTGGAGATTAATGCCTAAAGGGTACAGAGTTTCATTTTAGGGTAGTGAAATGCTCTCACGTTAGTAAACTGATGGGGCACAACCCTGAATATAGTAAAAACCATTGAACTGTACATTTAAATGAATGAATTTTATGATACATGAATCATCTCAATAAAGATGTTTAAAGAGGAATCAATACAGACTGGTGTGTAATTGTCTACAAATTGTGAAGTTCCAATAGTAGTAAGTGCTTTACAGAAAATTTGGGTAGAGGTAACAGTGGCACAAAGAGGTGTTATGGAAGCCTTTGATTTGTCTTGCTACTTTGAGTAGTCTGAGGTGGGTGATGTCTTCTGCAAAAGTCAGTTTGTTATGGGGAGGCCGGACACAACGAGGTGAATTGATAGATTGGATGAAAAGTTCTTGGTTAGAAGAAAGCTGGGTGGTGAGATTAATAAGGATGTAGACCTTAACCCACACATAGTTTAAAAAGAAAAAAGAGAGGAAAAAAAAAACAACCAAAAAACCCCCAAGCCGAGTTTGAACTCCATTCCATTGGCAGGAAGATAGATGAGCAGGTTATCTTGAGGTAATTCTGGGAATGGGGAGGTGAGGCAGATGGAGCCATATTTTAGAAGGGAATTGAGATCTAAATGATTGCATTGAGGAAAAAGAAGAGTCTTGAGGCTTTGTTTTTTTCTAGATCATGTAGGTGCAGGTTTTGTTTTGTATTAATGTTTATTTTGGTTTTGGTGAAGATATGCAGAACAAAATATGTACCTACTCGACACTTCTACTCGTACAAGAATTCTGTTCACAAATCCTGCTTGGGACAGGTAATCAAAGTCAACCAGTAGAGAGTTCTCAGCAGGCTGGGTTCCCTGTGCTGTCTTCTCTAAAGGCTGTGTGTTCTCCTTGTCACTGTTCTGTCTTTGGGAGATACTTTTTGTTTCCTGAACTTGAGGAAATTGGTTCAGCAATGCCAGAGACTGAGAACTTGAATTTACTGCTTGACCAACGGCTGGTGCCACTCACGAGCTGCAAAATATTTAATTAATGAGGTCATTTGAGGAAAATTAGATTTGATCAATAGGAGTGTCTGTTTTCCTTAAAGGTTGAATCTGAACCACTTTTCTTCTCCCTTCTTTTGACAAGACCGCAAATGATTAAAAATGGAAAGAATAGCTTTTTTAAGACCCACAAAATCTTTTTTTAATCAATTGTGTGGTCTGCTCACCTTTGTGGTGTTCCCCTTCACTGATTCACAGAAAATAAACATGTTAGATTGGCAGTGTTCTGTGGTACATAAGGGTCTCTGAGTCAAAGTCAACAGGGGCACCTGACAACAGCAGTGGAGTGGCTTCCAAACCCCTTTGGATGATTCAGTATTTACAATAGAACCCTTAGGTCAAAGTGGGCCGAGGCTACTCAGCCATGCCCAATCCCCCTGGCTCCTATGATGAAAACAAAACAAAAACTACTGTTAGTCTCTAATGTAATTGAGGCTCAGGACACCTTTTTGTCCTGTTACTAAGAGAAAACTATTTAGCACTTCAGAAAGACACTGACGTTGGCAAAGGAAAAGAAGAGCTTAGAAGGAAATACAGTGATGAGATAGTATGTTTTTTACATATGATATTTATTAATAAGCATGTATTAAGCAACTCTTATGTGCCACACTTTGGGTTAGGTGCTGGGGATATGAAGGTCAGTAAGGACATATCCCAACCATCTGAATTGAATACAGTGAGAGGGACTATCTTTTATTATGATAAGTGCAGTGGGAAGCCACCTAACCTCGACGGGGAGATAGAAAAGGTTTCCAAGAGGAGTTAGCAGATAATCTGAAGTCTGGCGCACGAGTGGAGGTCATCATGCAAAAACACACCTGGGCCTTGCAGGCGGTCAGAGCAGCTGTGACTCAGAGCCAGGGGGGGTGGGTGGGAGCATGTGTCTCAGAGCCCGTGCTTTTGGGAGCTGTTAAGGAGCTCCCTATGTGCTGCTTCTAGTGAGATGGTGTTGAGAAATAAAGCCTTGTCAAGGCAGTAGAGGCAAGGCAGTCTGTGTGACACCATGTTTGTTCTTTGTCTGAGAGGTAGAAAGAAGATGCCAGGAACACATGTGAACACCCCAAAAGGATAAAGAAACAGCATGTGGCCCTTGTTAGTAAAAAGAAACCGTGTTCAAGAAACATGTAATAATAGCTCAGGGTGGTGGATTCATAGGTGTGCCTTGTTAGCCTGGGTGAGGAGTTGCTAGTCATGAGGAGGGTGGATGTGTGAAAAGAGCCACCACTCCTAGTGGAGAGAGGCTCATGGACAGATTTTGTGAACCACCTGGGGCCAGCCCAGCCCTGCTGTGGGGGTGCTGAGGGAAGAGAGGTCAAGGTGAAGGAAGGGTCCATGTGAGGTCTGACAGGGTGGTGGAGAAAGAGGCCTAGGAAGGACTGACTGATGAGGGGTGGTGAGAGGGTGAGCCTGGGTGGTTGGGTGAGTAGAATAGAGCTTTGTGTGCAACAGCTTATGCTGCCAGACCAAGTGTGGGTTTTGTGGCAGCTGCAGGCCTATGTTCCTAATATAGTCAAAGGCCCTGAATCCTCTGGCCTGACACCTGTTAGCTGGAGGTTCCCCTGAGCTGACCTCTCCTTGTGTTGTCTCTCCCACGTATGCATCTGATTTGCTGGGGACCAGACTCCCCCTGTCACTAAATCTCTTGAACATAGGTTGCCGTCTCAACTTAGATGGGAGCTTGTTGAATTTTAGAAATGAGGGCAGGGTTTTCCAACTGTTACGAGGGCTAGCTGTGAGACAGGCCTAGTCAAAGGGGAATGGGGTGGTCTGTGAGAGGTGATCATTCTTAGCAAAGCACTCAGTGTGGAAAGGAAGCAACGCTAGACCTAGAGAGGTTCTTAGGAGGACAGGCCTTGCCCACACAGAATGGAGGAAAGTGAAATATGAATCGCTTAATGCTGCTGCAGCTGCTTCCTAACTTTTGCCTCTTTCTTCCTTTGACCTGTGGAGGGGTTGGGTGGAGAAGAAGACTCAGGCGATCCCAAGCAGCCAGCCATTTCTCAACTGGCCCTTATTACAGTCCCCACCTCCAGCTCTAGTAAACAGTGCTGGGCCAGCATCACAGCTCAGTGTGGCTAGTGTAATTCCCTTTTCTCTCTCCTTTCCCTCTCCCTACCTCCCTCTCCCTTCTTTTGGTTCCCCTTCCTGGCCCCTATGGATGGCTGCAGCTCAGCCCTGGGGAGCCCCTGTGGAAGTGGAGTCCTTCCTGGCCCACCCCGGTGACCTGCTGCAGCTTCGCTGTCGGCTGCGGGACGATGTCCAGAGCATCAACTGGCTGCGAGACGGGGTTCAGCTGGTGGAAAGCAACCGTACCCGCATCACGGGGGAGGAGGTGGAGGTGCGGGATTCCGTGCCCGCTGACTCTGGCCTCTACGCTTGCGTGACCAGCAGCCCCTCGGGCAGCGACACCACCTACTTCTCCGTCAATGTTTCAGGTTGGTAGCAAAGCTCTGTCCTTACCCTCTCCTTCTTACCCCTCAACCCCTCTCTGCTAGTTTCAGGGTGAGGTGTACCTCCTCCCCTTCCATGACCTGCCCCCGTTCTGCTTCAGAAACTGCTGCCCACTAACATTGCTCCCTGCCCGCCGCGTGGCTTAGCTCCCAGAGGCATGACCCAGTGCTGCAAGCCCCAGTGCAGAGATCTGGGATGGTCAAAAGCTGTTTCAGAGGTGATTGCCAAGGATCTTGAGGGCATTAAGACCCTGGTGATGTCTCTTCCACATCTGCCCAGATCACCAGGTTGCTAAGTAGGACTCAGCCCGTTCTCATCCTGTCATTCTCCTGCCATTTGGATTGGTACTGAGCTTAGGGATTAGAGCCTCAGACATGCGGTGAGGTCTCTAACTGTGATGGGGATCCAGACACAGTGCCATGGCCACAAGCTTATGAAAAACCCCTGCCTGCTAGCTTCCAAAGCTGTATGAGGGCAGCCATGGAAGCTTCAAAGCATTATGACTTCAGCAACCTGCCGCTTCAAGTTGAAAGAGGTAAACTGTCAAAAATGTAGAATTATATAAAGTAGACCTGTCCGTTTGTGCATATCAGACATTTGACCTTGGCACTTCCCTCTTCGGGGATTATTTACAACTTGTCCCTAACTGAGGGACCTTCTTTATTTCCCTCCTGAACCCCCAAAACACTAGCAAGGACTGAAATAAGATCTGACATGAACATCCTGGTAGTGACCACAGGATATATCAAGCCTTTTTTTTTTTTTTAATTACCCATTGTCAGTTTTATTTCTGCTCATTTTTTTTTTTTTCGGTCTGCAGAGTATACTTAAATTTTAAAATTATGTCAAGCCTATTTTTTATGTTTCCCTTTCTTTGCATCTATTGAAAGGACTGAGCACTTGTTAGGAAGAGGTGCTGGCAGCTACAGACAGTGTAGGCTTCCTATCTGCTTTGGGAAAGAAGGGCAGCTCCTACACTTTGACAAGCACATACTAGAAAAATTTTGCTTCAGTCCCCCACTTGTTGAGAGTTGACAGAAAAACACATATTGTGCCTGGCCACTGGTTCCGAGACTGTCAAGCACCCAGGCATTACCATAAATTGAGAGAGAGGCTCCGAAGAGGAAAACTAAATTAACAAGATGACCTAGGTGAAACTGAGCAGTGAAAGGGGCAGAGGGGGGCACTAAATGAATTAGGGAAGAGAGACAAGGGCAAATAGAAGCATATGTAGTATTTCTAGCCCACCTGGAGACAGTCACCAAGAGAAAATAAGAAAGAAGAGCATGCTCTATGTTTGTTTATAATTGAACTGGCCTATATGGGGTGGTTGTTGGTAGGGATACAAATTTAGAGAGTTCATTTTCCCTTGGAGAGACATTGACACCCATCTTCTTTCTGTAGATGCTCTCCCTTCCTCAGAGGACGACGATGACGATGATGACTCCTCTTCAGAGGAGAAAGAGACAGATAACACCAAACCAAACCGTATGCGTGAGACACTGTTTCCTACCTTACTGCCCTTGGGGCCTGGGAGTTGGGATTGAGAGGGAAGGGAAAGCTTAATCATTGGTTTTGACAACAGAGCAAAGAGTGATAGTGGTCATAATGCACTGGGCACAGAAGTAGAGCAGGTGGGCAGAGCGCTTCCGGGTCCTGGCGTGGGCGCTGGCTCAGAGCCTGACCAGCCTCCTTTGCCTGTCTCTCTTGGCCTTCCCCTGGACAGCCGTGGCTCCATATTGGACTTCCCCAGAAAAGATGGAAAAGAAATTACATGCAGTGCCGGCCGCCAAGACAGTGAAATTCAAATGCCCTTCCAGTGGAACCCCTAGCCCTACGCTGCGCTGGTTGAAAAATGGCAAAGAATTCAAACCTGACCACAGAATTGGAGGCTACAAGGTATGTGTGTATATATATAAAACTTAGAAGAAAAGGAGCAAGAGAAGCTGAGTTTAGATTATCCTTTTTGTATAAGTTTATTTAAAATAATGTTCTCTGAGTATAAAAGTGGTGCATTATGGAAGTTTTAAGTAATAGATTGTTTTTAAAATTAAATAGAAAACCTTTTTAAATCTTTTTTCTTGTACTTGTGGTTTTTACATAATAAATCACGTTGGTATGTTCTTGTATTTTGTTAACATTATAGCATGAGGTTTTTGCCATGTATTTGAAAGATAATGTTTCATGACTGCACAATATCCATTATAAAGATGCCCCATAATTTACATAATTTACAATTTTATGATACTATTTTCTGGATTTTTACTTTTATAAATAATGTGACTATCTTTGTACTTTTATTCTTGTCAGCATTTTGAGATATGTTTTTCTTAAAACAGATTGTGAGAGGTGAAGAAAGATTACTAGATTTAAGGGTATAAGGACTCTATTTCTTTAGCCTTTGATGCATGCATACTTAATACCCAATTAAACTTCTGGAAGGATAATTAATTCATTCTATCAGAGCAGAGGGTAAAAATTATCATTCACATACCTATGCTAGCAAATTGATAGATGAAAGTATCTCATTGTTCTCTTGTGCATTGTTTTGCTTATTAATGAAGTTAAAATTTTCATGTGTTAACAAGACATTTTCATTTCCTGAGTATAAATTATCTGTTCATGTTTTTTGGACATTTATATTTGTAAGAAGAATATCATCATTCAATCCTGTTTTTAAAAATTTCTAGCCTTTAAGTCTGTTTGTTTCTCATCATACCTAGCTCTTTTCATTGCTGCACCATGCACTTGCTGTCTTTGGGCACTGTGCTGTGGACATCACTACTGGCCACAAAGAATTTTTCATCAAATAGGAGGGATACGTGTACAACTATCATGAAAAGCAGGCCGCAATAAATTCTTATGTAGGGATATAGAAGGGATTTTAGAGGTGAAGAGGGGACAATGAGAACAATTCAGATTTAACTGGAGAAGGTGATTTTGGAGTGAGCTTTCAAGGGCAGGGACAGGACCAACATCTTGGCAGCATACAGAAATAGAGTTGAGAAATTTCCCGGTATACTTGGAAGCGTTTGTAAAAGGCACATTATGCCCAGATCATGGTGGACTTGAATGCTGTGGTGAAGACTTGGAGAGTTCCTCCCACCTGTCTGTCAGTTTGCCTGGTGTGTTCTTTCTGCCTGTAAATGGGTTGAGGATAGAACTTGCTGTGACTAGTGTCCATCCCCCCCACCCCCACACTTTTGTGAAGCTAGGGGCCATATGCTGCTGTACTCTAATTTGGAGGGGTAAATGCCTCAGTTCGCTGACAACACAAGTGAGTTCTATTTCCATCTTCATCCAGACCCTCACTGGAGCCTTTGGCATTTCCCCCTCAGGTCCGTTATGCCACCTGGAGCATCATAATGGATTCTGTAGTGCCTTCTGATAAAGGCAACTACACCTGCATTGTGGAGAATGAATATGGCAGCATTAACCACACCTACCAGCTTGATGTTGTGGGTAAGACTGCGAAGATAGCAAGAATTAAAAGTTTAAGCAACAAACTGCCGTGGTTTCCAGGTTTACTTTAAGAAAACATAATGGCACCCATTAACTTTGTTATCTTAAGCCAGCCACTTTTCCCTTTTTGAGCCTCACTTTTATATCCCTGGGTGGTACAAGTGGTTTACATGCTTAGCTGATAAAGGAAAAGTTGGGGGTTTGAATCCATCAAAAGTATCCTGGAAGAAGTGCTCAACTAGCTACGTCTGAAAAATCAGCCACTGAAAACTTTATGGAGCACTAGTCTACTCTAACACATAGGAAATCTCCGTAAATCTAAATAAACTTGATAGCCATTGAGTTTTATTTTAACCTTGTGTGATCGAGTTAGGAGGACTAGACGGTAGGTAATACCTTCCAGAACTAGTTGTATACTGTAAAATTGAAAGTACGCTTGCTAGTTTCTCCTGAAAGGTAACTAGATTGTTAAATTTAGTGCAGCAGTAATTTCTTTATAAATTTCAGTAGTATGTGATTCTCAGTAGTTGTGATCCCAACTGTACAAAGGAACAGACTGAAACTTGGCGCAAACACTTGCTAATGCAGAGTTCCAAGCCACTGCTGACCCCAGGCATCACATGAAAGACTAGGAAGAACGCCATGCTCAGTGATGGTACTGTAGCTATTCCTTCCCGCGGTTCTGAATCTCATTATCTAGAAATTTTGAAAGTAAAGAAGTTTACAATGAGCACTCTGTCTTCAGTTTGTATATGGTTTTAAAAAGGGTTCAGCAGGTCTGAGGTGTAGCCTGAGATTTTTACATTTCTCACAAGTTCCTTGGGTGATACTGTGCTCCTCAACTATACTTTGAATAGCAAAAGTTTAAGTGACCCTGTGTTGTTAGTTAAGTAAGTGGCTTTTGCCTGGCAGCATGACTGAATTAGAGGGTCCTCCATTGAGGAAAGAGAGACCTCTTATTCCTGTATGTGCTGCCTTGGGGAGGAGGTTATTAAGGAGAAGTTAGCTCTGGGAAGATCTTTACCTTCTCTCAGCTCAGGTTCATGGGAGCCAAGACTTAACAGGGGTGTTGGGAAATGTACCACCCATTCTGGTGAAGGTAGAAGACTTCTCCCAGAGTCTTAATCAGATGAGCCCTTTAGTGGTCTCTGTTCCCTAGCCAAGGTCAGGCCACATCAAGGTCTGATGATTCTCTCCTCACCCTTCCTCCACAGAGCGGTCCCCTCACCGACCCATCCTGCAGGCAGGGTTGCCTGCCAACAAGACGGTGGCCCTGGGCAGCAATGTGGAGTTTATGTGTAAGGTGTACAGTGACCCACAGCCCCATATCCAGTGGCTAAAGCACATCGAGGTGAATGGGAGTAAAATTGGTCCGGATAACCTGCCTTATGTCCAGATCTTAAAGGTAATCTTGGTCTCCATAAACCAGAATGCCGGGAAGGAGGGCTCACATCCTGTGCTCAGGCTCGATGTTCACCCTTCAGGCACACGCCATCTTAATAGGAGCCAAGCCACAATCCCCAGAATTGGTGATAGATCACAGGGGGGAAATGAGATGGGAACAGAGGGGCAGGGGAGCAGGCAGTGGACTTTTTAGGCCAGTTATTCCAGGAAAACATGTGGGCTTCAGCCTTTTTGTTACCCAGGATCAAGACCCTTCCAACAACCTTTTCCTCATCTCTGCCCTGCTTCTCAAATTATACTCTTCCAGGCAGGGGGGATGCATGATGAAGACATAGTTGAGTAGAGTTGAAAAAGCAAAGGCCACATATAAATTCTTCACAGTGTCAGGAGTAATGGCATTCTCTTCCTTTTTCCTCTCACTCCCAGACTCTTGAGTGTCCCTGAATGCTTCATTAATCCAGGGAAGGTAATTGCCTAAATCTCCAGTGGATCTTGCAGCAGGAAGTAACCAGGAGCTGGGAAAATTGTTTACCTCCTTATCCCAGAATTAAACCTCATCCTCCCTTGGTGTGGCAGTCCCAAGATTTACTGGCCATCCCTCCTCCTCTCTGCTGGTGCTGAAATTGTTCTGTAGCAAATGGCGCTGTGGCCTTGGGTCACGGCCACTCTCTTCATTCATATTCTCTGCCCTTATCCTGGAGTAGTGGATACAGTGCACAAAAAAGAACAGAATACAATACATAGTGCGTTTTAAAAAATAAGAATTTTTTTTGTTTAGTCAGATGTTTTACACTTTTGAAGTAAACTTGTTTTATTTATCCTTTTATTAAAAAGGTAAGGATTCCAAGTCTCATTTAATGTCTCCCTTGCCTTAAATTCACATTTAAGGCTCCCTGGGCCTGTCTTAAAGTTACATGCGAGCAAAGTATGGCCATATCTGAGTGTCTGCCCAATTGACTGGTGTGTCGTTGGTTTGTTCTAGCATTCGGGGATTAATAGCTCGGATGCGGAGGTGCTGACCCTGTTCAATGTGACAGAGGCCCAGAGCGGGGAGTATGTGTGTAAGGTTTCCAATTATATTGGTGAAGCTAACCAGTCTGCGTGGCTCACTGTCACCAGACCAGTGGCAAAAGGTAATGGGGAGATGGAGGGGGCCCTGTGCTGGGTATTTGATTTGGGCCAGCTGCTGGGGCAGGTGGGGAAGCCAGCGCCGAACTCTCCCTGTTATCCTACTGTATCTTACTTAGTGCCCAGAGCCATGGAAAAATGCCTGGTCTAGGAGGCTTGTTTGGTTTGGTTCTGTGTTGGCTTCTCCTGGCTCCCTCTGTGCCTTGTGTACGTTCCCAACTCTGTGTGTGTGCACGCAAGTGCATGTATGCTTGTGGATTACTCAGTTACAGAATGAATGATACTTTAGATGCAGGTTTGAATGGTAGAAAGAGAAAGGCCAGTTTTGTATGTGTGACAGAGACAGTGTAGCCCCCTCCATCCCTCATGTGTGCCTTCTGGAACTCTCTTTACCTGAAACCAAACAGCCCCCCACCTGCCGGGCTCCATTTCTCCATGCTGCCCACTGCCCGCATGCTCGGATGGGCCAGGGGCTGCAGCGTCTGGTGAAGGGTCATAACCAGCCATCATCTTCTCAGGTCTGCCGGAGTTCCTCCTTCAGTGTCTCACTCTCTTCCTCTAACAGGTCTCGCTGCCTGGTGGTTTTTGTTTGTTCATTTTTGCAAAGGAGACGCTGGGAAACATTTCCTCCTCTGACTCCCCCCCTTCTCTCTCTCCCTTTCTCTGTGTCTCTTAGAGGTCTCATGTCCTGTGCTTGTCCATTTTGCTTCCGTTGTCTCTTCTAGACTGCCGGAGTTAATACCACCGACAAAGAGATGGAAGTGCTTCACTTAAGGAATGTCTCCTTTGAGGACGCGGGGGAGTATACGTGCTTGGCGGGTAACTCTATCGGACTCTCCCATCACTCTGCATGGTTGACCGTTCTGGAAGGTATACACTGTACTTCTCCTCTCGATGTCCTGCCCTCGCCATGGGCACGGGGGGAGCATGCATTGCAGGACTAGGGGAGACACAGAGCCATGAGGCATAGAGGAATGGATTTCATGGACCAGCAGACAGTTCTCTGCCTGCCACAGGCCTAGTCATGCTCCAGCATTTTGTCTAACCTTGAATTCGCTCAGCCCACTGAGCAGCTTTCCTAGTTGTATGGGAACATGGAGGCCTCCCACCTCCTGCCTGCATTCTGGCTCTCCCCTTGGTCCATACAATGCATGCGTGGGATCTGGATTTAACCTGCAGCCGGCGCTTCTCCAGGCAAGCTCCTTCCATCCTTAGGTCCAGCAGCCTTTCCTCAGCCGTTTGATACTGAGTGAATTGTCTGAGCCTTTTTGGCAGCCTCTAGAAACTTAGAGATGGCTACACTTCTTTTCTAAATACAGACATTAGATACACGGGGCTTGCCCTAACCTACCCTTCCATGGTGCGAGCCTCTAATTTAGGAGGAGAGGTTCTTAACCACAACAGGTGAACGTCAGCTGTTCTGAATAAAGCCTATCTCGCGGCCGTAGCAGAAGGTTTGATGATGCTCCTGTTTCTCCTCTTTGGCGACTGGGCCTCTCCTGTTGAGATAGAAGGTACACATGTTGGGCCAGGAAGGAAGGAGCCTGTGGCCTGCTCAGGTGGTGGGATGGTGACTGCGGGGTCAGAGCTGGTTGGTGCTGCCTCTCTGAGTGTCCTGCCTGTGGGCCTGGCCTGGATGCTGTTCTCTTCTTGTTCCTGCTGACACTGCCCTCTCTCCCCTTCTCTCTCCTTCTGCCTTGCTTGCCTGACAGGGTCTGATAATGCCTCTCATTGAGGCAGAGAAGAGTTCTGTTTTTGTCATTGTCATTGTCCTTGTTCTGTTTGTGTTTCTCGTGTACTCTCTTCATTTCTTAGCATTAAGAGGAGAGAGATAAAAAACAAACCAGAAACACTTCTCCCTGTTATCAGCTCTGCTGTCTCCTTGTCAGGCTGTGGGAAGTTTTCTTCTAGGCTCAATCTGGGGTTGTATCTTGTGCCTCTCTGGGAAGGTTTCCCAGGGGTGGCTGGCTAGTGCGTTTGAAAGGAGGAGGGGGAGGAGACCTGTGGAGGACAGAGGGGCATTCACACTGTGGGGCAAGGAATGTTCCGGGAAGAAGCCCAGGCCCTGTGTGCTGAGATGTGAACCCTCTCAGCCATCTCACACTGAAGAGAAAAATGGAACTGAGTTGGCTTCTGGAGGGAAAGGGGATGGTTCTAAGTGGAAGATGGGAGAATAAGACAATTCGCTGTGTGCCCCTTTTCCCCCCTAAACACACGCATTTCCTTCATATGTGTTTAGGAGTTAAAGCCTTGTCTCCACTCGCATTAAATTTTTAGATTTTAGAAGTTCGGACTTGTGAGTAGAATTCTTAAGAAGTACAATCAATCAATCAATAAATACAAGAAAGCCATTCCCCCACCCCGTATAGAGCAGTACAAATATATTTGGAAATTACATGGGTTTTGTCTATGACTTACATAGGTGTGAATATTTACCTATCTGACCTGGTAGATGATGGGTAGATGGGAAAATCAGGATAGACTGTTAGCCATCATTTACTCTCATTCTTTGGGGTCTATGTTGGTGCTGCAGACAGAACAAGGTACCATCCCTGCCCTTGTGGGACTTGTAGATAGTCAAGGACAGAAGACCTATATACCCCCATCCCCAGGTGATAGGTGCTTGTACACAGCACTGATGCTGTTAGAGAAGGGGCAGCTTTTCCCTGAGGAGATTGAGAGGCTGTCAGACATGAAGCATCATTTCTCCATTGCAAGAGTCCATGGTACCGGACTGGTCTAGCTGAGCACGGAGAGCTCGGGCCTAATGAGGATAGGGCTTGAATCTAATCCATCCTTCCTGCTGGGTTCAAGTCAGGCTCACAGGAAGTCCCATCCTACCAGTGCCAGAATCCCTATCCTTTCTTGGACATGCTTTGATTCAGTCCTAAAAATTCCTAGGGGAAGGAACTAGGGCCTTAGTAGTGTGGTTGCACGGAACCTGCTAACACTCTGTTCACACTGACTCAGCCCTGGAAGAGAGACCAGCGGTGATAACCTCGCCTTTGTACCTGGAGATCATCATCTATTGTACAGGGGCCTTCCTCATCTCCTGCATGGTGGGGTCTGTCATCATCTACAAGATGAAGAGCGGCACCAAGAAAAGTGACTTCCACAGCCAAATGGCCGTGCACAAGCTGGCCAAGAGCATCCCTCTGCGCAGACAGGTAACAGAAAGTAGATGGGGGGTTTGCATGTTCTGCACTACCTTGTCTCCTGAGCCTCCAACGGGGGCTTGTCTATGGCCCTCTTGCTCTCTATCTTCTCCACTATCCCTTACCTGCTACTCTGTGGTTTTGCCTTCTGGTGTCTGAGCCAGAGCCAGTAGACCATCCTGAACTAAGTGATCTAGAGTCAAATTTAAAGTTGTTTAAGCCCCTGAGCTCTCTAATCTCACCATACCCCCAAAGGCAAGGCCCCTGTCCGCCTGGCATGTGGACCAGGGGAAAACCTGATTCAAACTGAGTAAGTTCCCCAGACATTCTCTTCCTCAGTATATTCACCATCTCCTCACAAAAGGACATGATACAGAAGCCTTCAAAAGAAGTAAACATTCACTCCTGATTGTGAGAGGTGCTTTGGAAATTAGAAATCCATAATTAGGCAGAGTTTTCACAAAGAGTTGTGAGAAAACTCAAGTACTAGAATGATAAGGGGTAAATGCCAAGCTGGAAGAGGTATTCAAAGATCATGTAGCATATTTATTTTAAAGGTGAGTAAACTGAAACCCAGAAAGATTAGTGGGTGGCAAAATTAATTCAGTCCTAGAACTTAGGTCTTCTGACCTTGAGTTTTTCTACCTACAGTTCTTTTGTTGAGGAGTTTACAGCAAATACACAGAAACACACCTCTGCCATTGGTGGAAAGCCCTGACTAGGAATGAGAATCCGATGTCACTTTCTCCCCTCTTCTTGCTAGAAAGGTGACCCCACTCTTTTCTATAGGTATCAGCTGACTCTAGTGCGTCTATGAACTCCGGAGTTTTGCTGGTTCGACCTTCTCGACTCTCCTCCAGTGGAACTCCCATGCTGGCTGGAGTCTCTGAATATGAGCTTCCTGAAGACCCTCGCTGGGAGCTGCCTCGAGACAGGTAATGTTCTAATGCCAACTTAAGAAGATCCTTTCATAGTTACTTTGACAGTGGAAATGGTGTATGCTGAGACTCTCTAGGAAGTGAAAGTACACTCCAGAAATCATAATTTCCACTTTCATAATCGTAATTTCCACTTTCTGCTTATAAGTTGGGTGAAATATGAAGAAGTAGACATAGAATGTCCTCTAAAGGAAGGAATTGTGCCAGCCCCAATTTATGCCATTCTTCTTTTCCCAAAGACTGGTTCTTGGCAAACCCCTGGGAGAGGGCTGCTTTGGACAGGTGGTGTTGGCTGAGGCCATTGGGCTGGACAAGGACAAACCCAACCGTGTGACCAAAGTGGCTGTAAAGATGTTGAAGTGTAAGTGATGTTTCTGTCCTTTAAAAGCAGTCCCTTTTCTTTGTAAGTAAATGGTGGGCCTTGGGCCAAGAGACCTTCTCTGGTGTCCCCTGATTGCTCACACCTGCTACCCTGGCTGTTTAGGGATACTTGGGGATGGAGGGGTATTCTGCACTCTGAGCTTGCTGTGGCTGTACTTTTTTTCCCTTGATGTCAGCTTGGGTCATGATCAAATATTATAGATCTTATAAGTAGCTGATTTTTCTCACCGTATTCTGTCATAGTCATTGCCACATTTTGCAACAACTGCTCTCATAAGGAAGCTCTGTTGGTCTAATGGGTAAGAAGCTGCATTGCTGACCCAAAGGCAGGCAGATCGGATCTACCAGCTGCTCCTTAGGAGAAAGATGGGCAATCTCTGCAATTTACAGTCTCTGAAAACCCTCTAGAGTGTCAGCTATGGCTTGGTTCTGACTCAGTGGCAATGACTTTTTGAGTGAGCTCCCATAAGAGGTAAGGGAGCTGATTGGGAGGAGAAAAGCAAGTCCCAGAGAAAAGAAACTTTGGCCAAACACCCTCTCCCTCTCCTTGGGTTTTCTGCTGTTTTCCTTCTAAAATAAATGGCATCACCTTCTCTGGTTTGTTTGTTAAGCGGATGCAACTGAGAAAGACCTGTCAGACCTGATTTCAGAGATGGAGATGATGAAGATGATTGGGAAGCACAAGAACATCATCAACCTGCTGGGGGCTTGCACACAGGATGGTATGGGCCAAGCCAGGCTAGCTTTTCCACCCTATCTCGAGCAAGGTCCTGAGAAGAAACATGGGATTCATGTTCAAATAGTAAGGCCTCTCAGGGGGAAGATTCAGAACAGGTGTCAGGGTGCTCCCACCTGGAGCTATCAGGAACAAGTCATCCTTTAGCGACTGTCAAGGACAAGGGTTGAGAAGAAAGGCTGGGTTAGCAGGAGTTGGAATGCATGTCGTAGAGTCTAGGCCGATGACTGTGGTCAACTGAGAATATCGGCATTTAGGTTCACACAGAGAGTATGGATATGAGCAGGAGTATATGATCAGATCTGTTAGGTCCCTGAATTTTGCTTGGGAACATTCTAAATGATGTTGAGACACGTGGTGTTGACTGACTTGGGTAATGGAATGAATCCTGGTCCTCTAATAAGGAAATTGTAGGATTAGGGAGCAAATTCATAGTGTGCATAAATTGTATGTTCCTTGAAGAGAAGTTAAATGTGCTGGCTGCCTACCTGCCCTGATGATCTTTTTCTTTCTCCCTGTGCTCCCCAGGTCCTTTGTATGTCATTGTGGAATATGCCTCCAAGGGTAACCTGCGGGAATACCTGCAGGCCAGGAGACCTCCAGGGCTGGAATACTGTTACAACCCCAGTCACAACCCAGAGGAACAGCTCTCCTCCAAGGACCTGGTGTCCTGTGCCTACCAAGTGGCCCGCGGCATGGAGTATCTTGCCTCCAAAAAGGTGTGGAACCTAAATGCTCAGATCTTGTGGATGAAATCGGGGTGGGAGCAGAGCTCAGCTAGTACTATCTCCAGCTAATGGTTTTGAATCCTATGATCAAGTTGTATATTTCTGAGCACTGATTACATATGCTACTTTATGAATTTTGGGAGAAATATCAGTAGAACTTAGTGGCCTTGGGATCAAACCCAATGAAGTTTAAATCTGTGCCATAACATATTCTGTGGAGCCTTAGATATAAAACAGTACTACCTGTACTGTAGCACTGGCACGGAGATAGCATAAAGTCATCTATGAGGGTATAAAGTACAGTTTCTGGTGCTTAATAAGTGAGGGCTTTGAGCTACAACTTGGACTGGTTATCCTGCACCTTGGGAGCCAAGACTCAGCTCATGTTCCCACTTGTGCAAACTGACCTGCGCTATACAATTTTAGGACTGTGAGGTATGAGGCAATGGCTAAGAGTTGCCTCCGTAACCTGCCTACTTTGTCATTAGATCCGAAAACCTGGGTGGTGCCCAGTTGCCACAAACATTTTGATCATAGGTGCAATAGAAAAGTCCTGAACAAGAGGAGAAACAGAAAATAAAACTTTAGATTATCATGGAATCCTGATAAACCTCAAACTATTGCCCGAAAATAATCTTTAGACCGTAAACTAAAAATATCCCCCGAAGGTTTCTTAAAACCAGGCAATAATTTAGCTTAATTTGTAAAGAATATCTGCCTTGAGCATTGTACTCTTTTAAGATCTGTTTGAAATAAAATTGACAACACTAACTTGAAAAATTAGGTGGCTGTGAGTTTAGGAATTGTTGGTTTATGGTCTACTGTACATATTCTCAACAGCAATGAAAAGAAGTACATTGCCAGCAGGGAAGAGAAACATAAGCATAGTATTACATTAAACAAGTTGGCCTTAAAGAAAACAATACAAGAATTGGAAGGATCAAGAAGAGACAAATGAAGAGGATTTGCTAAAGTGACAGGATCTGGGAAGGAGGAGTTTGAAGTGGTTGAAGGGAAGTGGACTTTTGTTGGAGGGAAATAGAATGTTCAGGAACTAGAGTCAAGTGTGAAGAGAGAAGGCCCATGAAATATGTTGGTCTACGTACTGGCTAAAAAATGAGTCCTGGACTCTAGTCACTGGATGCTGATGCATGTTTTATAGTTGTTGGGCCCTGAAGCCTTACAGCTCCTCACTCACATACCACCCCCCTTCTCTCGTGGCTCTCCCCTCCCTGCTCCACAGTGCATACACCGAGACTTGGCTGCCAGGAATGTCCTGGTGACAGAGGACAATGTGATGAAGATTGCTGACTTTGGCCTAGCCAGGGACATTCACCACATTGACTACTATAAAAAGACAACTAATGTAAGTGCTGATATGCCCACTAGGTTTTCTCCCACCAAGATTTCTCTTTTGTAACCAGTACAGGCTATCTGCTGGAGAAATGATGTGGGAGGACAAGCTGAAAATGGGCACGTCTTCCAGTCCAATCTGCTAGTGCCCCTGCTTGTCTCTGACCTTGCTGTCCACTTGCAGGGCCGACTGCCTGTGAAGTGGATGGCTCCGGAGGCATTGTTTGACCGGATCTACACCCATCAGAGTGATGTGTGAGTTTGAAATAAACAGCTGGGATATTTTGGGTAGAAGATGTCCAAGTTAGGCGTCCTGCATTCTCTCTCACAGGAGGCAGGTGGAGGTCCCTTTTCTGTACCAATTCACTTTCTTCCCAGTTACTGAAAGGTCATTCTGGACTTGTGTTGGAGGAGGCGAGGTTCAAGAGGACCACCTGACCTGCTGGTGGAAGAGGGAGATGGAAGTGACTATAGACTGGCCTAGTTTGTTCTCTCAGACTCACTGGTTCTGCGCTTATCCACAGGTGGTCCTTTGGGGTGCTTCTGTGGGAAATCTTCACTCTGGGGGGCTCCCCATATCCTGGCGTGCCTGTGGAGGAGCTTTTCAAGCTGCTGAAGGAAGGTCATCGTATGGACAAGCCCAGTAACTGCACCAATGAGCTGTAAGCATGAGATGGTATCTGAGGTCTTGGGTTAGACACTTGGATAAAGAACATTGTGTTTGGTGGAGAAGAGCCACAATTTTTAAGATAAAACCATTCTCAGAGTCACATCTCCCATCAATCTTCCACCAACAATCTTTAACTCTGTCTCTTTTCCTCCCCCTGCTTCACGATCCCCCCACAGGTACATGATGATGCGGGACTGTTGGCATGCAGTACCTTCTCAAAGACCTACCTTCAAGCAGCTGGTGGAGGACCTGGATCGCATTGTGGCCTTGACTTCCAACCAGGTAAAGGCTGTCTGAGCCTCAGCTTCATGGTCCTCCTCATTTCTATCACCTTTGCTTTTTTAACCATTTAGCATTCCATTTTCCTTAGGTACAATTCTGAGTCGGCATTGTTGCAAAAAGAATGCCAAATCCACTAGTCTTTTCTTTCCTGTCACAGGAGTATCTGGACCTGTCAATGCCCCTGGACCAATACTCCCCCAGTTTTCCTGACACTCGAAGCTCCACTTGCTCCTCAGGGGAAGATTCTGTCTTCTCTCACGAGCCGTTACCTGAGGAGCCCTGTCTGCCCCGACACCCAGCCCAGCTTGCCAATGGCGGACTCAAACGACGCTGACTACCACCCTTCCTGATCTCCTCCCCAGACTTCATCAACTGTAACCCTCACCCACCACTCCTGCTGGACTCACTGCCTTTCCTTTTTTCCTTTCCCTGCTGGCATGAGCCAGCTGCCTAACGTGAGGCCTTCCTATGTGGCCTGCCTTCACCCCACTGAGCTCACCTCTCTTCCTCTCAAGCTGCCTGTGTGAGAGAGGAGCTGATGGCCACTTCATTCCCTCCCACACGTTGGACCAAGATCCCTCCCTGCCACCTAGCACTGCCTGGAGGGATGGGGAGTGGCAGATGAGCAGGCTTGCTAGAGAGAGCTTACTGAGCTTTCTTGTGTTGGTTTTGTCTGTTTTACCTTAGCCTGTGAGTCTCTTACATTCTGGTGGCAGGTGCCTTGTCCTCAGGGCTACAGCAGTAGGGAGGTCAGTGCTTTGGGCCTCCACTGAAGGTGACCTCTGCTCCAGATAGATGGTGCCAGTGGCTTGTTAATTCCAGTACTAATTTGCTTTGCTGACCAAATACCTGGTACCAGAGGATGGTGAGGCAAAGGCTAGGAGCAGTGTTGTGGCCCTGGGGCCCAGCCCCGTACTGGGGGCTTTGTACATAGCTATGAAGAAAACACAAAGTGTATAAATCTGAGTATATATTTACATGTCTTTTTAAAAGGGTTGATACCAGAGATTTACCCATTGGGTAAGATGCTTCTGGTGGCTGGGAGGCATCAATTGCTATATATTAAAAACCATGAAAAAAGAAAAAAAAAAAGGAAAATGTTTTTTAAAAGGTCATATATTTTTTGCTACTTTTGCTGTTTTATTTTTTTAAATTATGTTCTAAACCTATTTTCAGTTTAGGTCTCTCAATAAAAATTGCTGCTGCTTCATTTTTCTATGGGCTGTGTGAAAAAGGAGAGGATACCAATTGGAAAAGAGGGAAACCCGCGGGCCCTGGGGCTGTGTCCGCGCAGAGCACCCGGCATGGTCCCTGCAGTCTCCTTCTGGCCCCTTTCTCATGAGTCCTGCACTGAGGCTTCCAGGACAGACTTCCTACCTCTCCAGTCCTTTTGGAAAGGCAGGAAAATAAGACATCTGCACAATGGGCAGGAACCTCCTGTCAGTGCATGAGAGGAGCTGGGCAGAGAGCCAGGGCTACAGCAGCCTCAACAACAGATTGCTTCCTCATAGGAAACTGTTGGGGGTGAGCGGGTGTCAGAGAGGGAGCTGGAGCTTACCTTTGAAAGCCACGAGGTAGAGTGTGAATGAGTAAGAGGGAAACTAAGGATTATTCAACATAGGGCCTATAGAAACCCAAATCCAGATGTCTCTCCCTCTCTGATTGGGTGTGGTTTTGCCTGTACTTTGATAGATGAAAGTGGGGTTGTTGGGGGGCAAAGGGGATGGATTTGATCAGCTAAAATTTGTTTTACATGTCAGGCGCCTTCATTTTTCCTAACCTACCCTGTGTTCATGATCATCTCCCAGACTATTTTTCTCCTGTCTAAGCGAACAGAAAGCATTTGCTGGGACTATCAAAGATCTTGGCTTCCTATAGCTCTTCCTGTACAAACTCCACCCCATCCCTCAGGAAAGTGGAAAAAATTCTCTGAATGTTTTTGTTTTGTGACTACTTGGTAATTTACTTCTGCCACCTGCTGGTTATCATTGTACTTCCTAAGTGGATTCTGGCTCCCATTTGTTGTTCGACTTAACTACTTACTCAGCCTCTATACTTACAGCTTACTTTTGCAACTATTACTGGATTGATGCTGGATACAAAAGAAAGGCCAATAAGCTTTCATTTCTCTAGGGAAAGTGGCACTGCTGCCTTAAGTTTCCTTTCTGAGCGAGTTGGTTTGGGCAGCTGAAGTAGTTGTCACTGTTGTAAAATTCTCTCTTATCCTTGTTTCTCTGTAAATATGCAACTGTCAACGTATTACAATTTGCATTCATGTTTAAAGAAAGCATAAATTGGTGAACAGAGCAGGAAATGCATTTTAGTTCTTAAAACAACTTGTTTTGTGACCCGATAGTAATGTCTTTCCTTATAAAATGGTGATGATCACTTCTGCCTTTGCCCTACCTTGAAGCAGTGTTGTGTGAATGTATGGAGAATATATAAAGGGCTTTATATTCCTTGGAAGAGAAATAGAAGGCATGATTATTGTAGCAATGATTTTCTTGCTCTTACTATTCAGATCACACAAGAATTCCCCTAGAGGCCTAAGTGGCTGTCAAATAAAAGATAGTGAGATTGACCTGAGAGAAAATGAAATGGCCATTTTACTTAGATGATCATATTGGGTCTCTGGAGGAAAGGAATCGTTTTATCTAATGAAGACATCGTGCTGTCAAGGCACTCAATGTCTGGCTTGCCGAGGGTTAAAAGATTAGGGTCCAGAATCACCACAGCAGTAATCAATACTGCTTTTCCATTTTTACTAATTGCCATAGGCTGGGGATCATCATTCCCTAGGCACTGCTAATGTAAGGTATTGATCTCAGGTAAGTAAGATTGAACATTAAAGGGTGCAAGAAATCTGTCTTATCAATGACAATGAAGTCGCTGTGTTGATCAGCCACCACTGGGTGGAGCCAGCAGACTAAGAGCTCGGACACATATATTGCGCCCTTCTGCTTTAAAGTTAACCCTTATCTGAATTTCTAAGTGCGCATGGGTAGGGAATAGGAATCTTTAGTCTCGACTTTTAGTATCCAATTGCACTTATTTGACATCACCAATACCAGTAATATTGTAATGTCTGAAGTGTCAACTTAGTAATGCATAAATGCAGGTATGAAGTGCCAAGTACCACCCACCAACCCTTTATTGTAGATTTCTCATCTAAGGATGAGACACAGACCAAGTCTAAACATCACGGAAGGCCAAGTTCTAGAGAACAACTGAAATATTAACTGATGGGTTCATCAGTGGCTGGCAGAGCTAGGGTACAGCTATCTGTAGGAGGCAGAGACCAGGAATGGAAGAAGCTTTAAAACATGCTGCTCTTCCATTGCTTCAGGTGATGAGAGCCAGCCCACGGTGAGTCTGCCAGAACCTAAATGTTGAGGGTAAAAGGTCCTTTTACCAGGACCATTAATATACTATCCTGATTCCTTAATGTGTGGACTGGCACCGAGAAATGATCCCGTGAACATGCAGCCAACTAGAGGTTTAATTGTCCTCATACCAGCAAGGCTGGGGTCAGCAGTGTGGTAAGTCAGACACTCAGGAGCCTCTTCATAATTGTGTGCTCAGTGACTTGGTGTTAGTAGTTTAAAGATGGCCACAGTGGGAATATACGTTTAATTGAAATCTACAACACTACAAAAGTAGCTCCCCCCCACCCCAATTCCCTCAGTGAGCTGATAGCTAATCATTTACCAAAACACCACCAGCTCGGTTTCAGCATGGGGCTAGAGAAGAAATCCTGCAGCCAAACACCTCAGAAAGGGAAAGCGACTGTCTACCTTCTCTGTACTATTATAAAAATGGACGGAGATGTGTATGAAGATGTCTTACATGCCTGCAGGTCCTAGTTGTCATTAATTCAATTCCAACTCATAGCAGCCCTCAGTCAGGTTTCCAAAGCTGTATGTCTGTAAGGGAGGAGCCTGCCTGTCCTGTGAGCAGCTGGTAGATTTAAGCTGCCAGTTTTTCAGTGAGTAGCATAACACATGACACACTACACTCTCGGGGCTGCTAGGATATACTTGTATTTGGGAAAGTAGATCCCTAGGCCTTTCACCCAAGGTGCTACTAAGTAGACTGGACCTTTCAACTTTTTAAGTAACAATTTATGGACATGCACACACACCAAACTCCCTTAAATGCCTAGAGGTAGTCTTAAAACGTGAAGACCAACTGAGGAAAAAAGTGATCAGGAGCATCTGGTCCTAAGCATGCCCATTCTACTCACAGTGAAAGCCAGAAAGAATTTTAGAACAGCCCAACAGAAAATATGAATCACTGAGTTAAACAGGATGGAGCAAGTTAACTAGCTAATCCCTTTCCCACATCTAACGCTTGAAAAGTGGGCTAATTAAAATAGGTGCTATCATTCTTAAAAATGGGAAAATTTATGTGAGTCACCTTGCTACACCAGTGGCAAGCCCCTGGGATGCTGTGTTTGCACACTCTCAGGAAACAAGTTCATCAGCTGTTCACGGTGGGACGTGTCTTCCAATAGAGAAGAGGTTTGTGATGATCTTCATTTAGTGATTTCAGACAGGGCAAATGGAAGTTTTACTTGGTTTAATTGACTCTGATGTCGTAACTGCTTTCAATTTTACAGTGAGAAAGCAAATTTCATCACCCACAGCTTGAAAGTTTTTTAGTCTTCATACTGAAAACGGGGAACTTAAATACTAAGTACTTGTTCCTAGGTAGCATGGGGATTATATCAGACTTGAACAACCCCTGTGACTAACAAATAGCCTTATTTACGAAAGACTGATCAGAAAAACACACACCCAGCAAAAACAAATGGTTAAGTCTTAAACCCTTAATTATGTCTCCTTGCAAAATGGTGGCTAATGAAAGCCATATGTGCTAGAATAGTGGCAGCCGCCCAGATTCCTGAAGTCTCTGCAGGCCAGAGGAGGGATGTCTGTCAGAACAGCCGAGCAGCTGCCAAAGCTTTTTGATTGCCAATCTGTTTAACTCCATTTTCTCCTCTGAGAAACACTTTTTCTATCCAGATTTTCCTATGAGTGTATCCATCCACCTCAGACACTGTTCCTACCGATGGGTCTCTCGAAAAGAATTGGTTAGTCCAGTGTGCTCACAGAGGTCTGTAGGATTTTCAAGTACTTGGGGTTCCAAGCCATAGGAGGCAGAGTTATCTAAGGTGCCAACCTGAATTCCACTATGTAAAATCTTTCCTTGCTTAAAGGTCATGTGCACAAATACGATGCTGTCCAAAACCAACTAGGGGGTGGAGTAACTTTATACATGTATAGTTGGCAAAGTGAAGTAGGATGACATAATGTTATGGAGGAAATGAACTTTGCCATTATATTTCTCTAAGCAGTCTGAACTTGGTTTCGCTGCTCACATCATTTAAAATGGTGACAAGTCCTCAAACTGATCCAAGACCAAATGGCTGACCATCTCAATCCAGGCACAGAGAGTCTTAGCTGGGAGGCCCTTTGCGAATGCCACCGCTGAGAGCAGGAAGCTGGGGAGAAAGCTTCATCCTTAAGTGATCCTTAAGCTCCTCTTGAATTAGCCTTGCTGTTCTGGGATGTATTTTGTGAGTTGGCCTGGAATGTGTAGGTTAAAAACACAAGGACTTTAGGCACTGATCACAGTCAAAAGTGTAACTTCTTAAGAAAACAGAGCCATGGAAGTTGCTGTCAGTTCTTCCTTATGGCAGCTTCACGTGTGTCAGAGTAGAACTGTTTCTTAGCATCAGTAAATCCCCTTTGAAGCACCTGGATAAACTCAAACTTTGAACCTTCCCATCTACAGCAAAGTGCATTAACTGCACCATCTAGGGACCATATACAATTTCTGAATTTACCTTGATAATAAAGGCATACAAAGCAAGCCCCTGTGTGCGTTGGAGCATTTTTCTAGATGTTGACCTCTTTGTGTGTTCTTAGATTCATCAGGAATCAGCAAAGGCACTACACAGTTCAACTCTCCCATGACACTCTCCCTTATTGTTTACTTGTGTCAGCCAAATGAGCATAGTAAACAAGTCATTTCTTAACATACAGTTCCTCTAGAATTTAAATAGGGGTTTTTTGCTAGTATATTTTGACACTAGGGGTCTGTGTAAGATAAACTATGTAGGGAAACAATTTCCATCTGGAAAAGAAAAAAATAACCTGCTTATGTTGTAATTAGCTTCAAATCTTAACATGTTTCATTTGCTACACAGTTGTATTGGTTGACCTTTTTTTTGTTTTCATTCTTGGATAATTGAGGTAAAAATGAGTGGTTATCAGGTGACTAAATTTCACCTGACATCTTCCTGTTTGGAAAGAAAAACTACTGTGTAGTAGTTATAAGTCTGGCTTCTTAAAGCCCTTACAGATAATTAGAGGTTGGGTTTGTTAATTTTTTAAAATACAGCTTCTTTTGACGAAGTGATGGATTCTTTAGGTGATGGAATGGGAATGGATGGTGTTCTTGGTGGTGATGATGTGACTAGGGGTACTTGTTTCATTTCTTCATCCTTATACATCGGAACAGATTATTGATTTTAAAAAAAATGTGTACTAAATACATAGCCACACCCATGATGGCCAGAAATTTCTAACAAATACTTCATATTCTGGAACATAGAACAAATGCTAAATCTAATTACATATAAACAAGCTTTGAACTTTCCTAGAAACAGATCCAAAGCACAAGAAATAAAAGGAACAATGCTGTTGAGCACTGTCAAGTCGGAACCCACTCATAGCTAACACTGGCAGATTTTAAGACGCAGATATGGATTGAAATTTAGTTTCATTAAAGGGGTTAAAATTATTTTTAAAAATAAAATAAAAATTCATTTTCTAACCTTACTTTCCTTCTGTTGAGGTACAGGATCCATCATGTTCTCTTTAGATTCAGGAGATGCAGATGATCCTACTGGAATATTAGTCTTTGGAACCTAAAATTAAAAAAATGTGCAGTCATAATGAGCTTTGTGATCAGAAAGCAAATACATCCACAGTAATCAGTACTTGTTAGCACAATTTGCTTTGCACTAAATCCTCAGTCACTGACTTGCCAGTTGTGATCCTTTTCTCATAGTCTCAAAAAGTTGTCATTTATCAATTACTCCTCAGTTTCTTCTACCAGCACTGACATAGCTCAGTGAATATTGACATTATTTTTAGTGTCTGATAATTACAATATCTGATAAATTTGTCTAACTTAATATGATAGGGTTGCTTAATAGATTCTCCTATAAGCAACAAGAAAATGGTGGGAGGGGGCACATACATAATATAGCTCTTTAGAAGGGAATTTTTTTGCATATTTTAGAAGGGGAGAGGCTACAATAAATCCAGAATTTTCTATTCAGTATGTCTCAAAATTCCTTATAGATTCTAATATGCTGCTTGTTCTAATTTCGTATTTGTTGTTCTTATGTGCTGTTGAGTCGCTTAGACTCAGTAGCCCTAGGTACAAGAGCCCTAAACCCTGCTCTATCCTGTGCCAACCTCACTGTCTCTGACACACCCCTCCCACTACCCCAATCCCTGAATTGATCCATCTCATCGAGGGTCTTCCTCTCCTGTGCTGTTTCTCCACTGTCCCAAACATGACATCCCTTTCCAAGGACTGGTCCCTCCTTGCAACATGCCTAGAGGATGTCAGACAAAAAGCTTCAGAATCCTGCCTCCAAGGAGCCCCCTGGCTTCACCTTCTCCAGGACAAACTCAGTTGTTCTCCTAGCAGTCCAGGTTATATTCAACACTTCTCCAGCACCATAGCTCAAAGGCATCAATTCTCTTGCTATCATCCCTAGTCATTGGCCAACTCTCCGAAGCATAGCACATAATTGCAAAGGCTAGAGCCCAGATTAGGCACATCTTAGTCTCCAGATGACTTTCCCAATGCAGTTTGTCTCTTGATTTCCTGGCTGCTGGTACCAAGAATGTCAACTGTGGAGCCAAACAAACTAAAACTCTTAACTATCTCAATCTCTTCACCATCCATACTGATTCTGCCAATTGGCCCAGTGGTAAGAATCTTTGTTTTCCTGATGTTGAGCTTCAGTCCATAATAAAGGCTGCAGTCCTTGACCCTCTGCAGCAAGTGCTTCAAGTCCTCCTCAGTTTCAGCAAACAGGGTTGTGTCATCTGCATAACACAGATTGTTGATAAATCTTCCACCAATCCTGATGCCACATTCCTCCAAGTACAGCCCAGAGTCCTGGATGATCTGTTCTGCATACAGATTGAAAAAGTATGGAGACCAGATACATCCTTGGCGGACCCCCTTCTCAATTTTGAACCATGCAGTGTCTCCTTGCTCTTTCATATAAGCACAATCAAATGTTCTGGGATTCACATTCTTCTCAGAGTCAGCCATAGCTTTTTGTGATCCACATAGTCAAAAGCCTTTGCATAGTCAACAGGGATTAAAAACAATCAGTGAAATTCATAGGACCTTGTGAAAGTCCTAAATTCCCAGGTCTTCCTTACTCAAAAAACATCATTGGGGTAATGCATTTATATTTAATACAATACAGTTTATATATAATACAATAATTAAAACCCCAATTTAGCTCAGAGACACTGCTAATCCAAAATTTCTTTGTTCCTAAGAGCAGTCTAAAAATTACAAATACTTTTAATCTGTTTTAAATGTATACTCTAGGAATTTGACAAGAGTGAGAATTTTAGTACATGTTCTTTGCTCCAAAATTGCTTCCATTCTCCCTAGAACCCTTCCTAAACTAAGGCCACATCCAGACAGCCCACTAAACTCACTGCTATCAAGTCCGTTCTGATTGATAACAACCCTATACAAAATAACACAGCTGCCCCATAGGATGTCCAAGACTGTAAATCTTTATATAGACTAATCTTCCTTCTGCAGAGCTCTGATTTCAAACACCTGACATTTTGCTCTGTAGCCCTCAAGCACCACCAGAGTTCCCTAGATCCATACTGTTGTTTGTGGTGGTTATGTGCTGTCAAACTGGGTGCCATTCATAGCAACTCTGAACAACAGGTCTGAATCCTGACCTATCCTATGCCAACCTCACAATCTACAAAACACTTGAACACATTGCTGCAGTCAGTCCATCTCATTGAGGGTCTTCCTCTCCTTTGCTGACCTTACACCTTTACTAGCATGATATCCCTTTCCAAGGAATATCCCCTACTAGTAACATGGGAGCACTCTGGCTGCACATTCTTCAAGATTTTTGTGTTACCTTCTTCAAGATTTATCTGTTTGTTCTTTTGGCAGTCCATGGGATACTCAGTACTCTTCTGTAACATCACAACTCAAAGGCATTAGTTTTTCTTCTGTCAGACTTATTCATGGTCCAGCTCTCAAACTCATAGCAAGTGACTGAAAGGATCATGATTAGAATCGGGAACACCTTAGTTTTCAAACTGACATCATTCCTCTTCAGTACTTTGAAGACTTTGCCAATGCAATATGTCTTTTGATTTTTTGACTGCTGGTATCAAGGGTGTTGATGATGGATCCAAGTAAGACAAAATCGTTGACAGTTTCAATCTTTTCTCCATCTATCATGATGTTGCCAGGTGACCCAGTGGTGAACACTTTTTTTTATGTTGAGATGTAATCTATTGATCTTCTGAATGAGATTGATCATCAGCAAGCATTCTGAGTCCTCACTCTCATCAAGCAAGGTTGTGTCATGTGCATTGCACAGGCAATCCTGATGCCACATTTTTCTTCAGAGTCCAGCTTCTCAAATTATCTGTTGAGCATTCAGGTTGAATAGGCTTGGAAAAAGAATACAGCCCTGATGCACACCATTCTTATTTTTTCAACTATACAGTGTTCCCTTGCTCTGTTCAGATAGCAGCCTCTTGATCTAGGTAAAGCTTTGCATGAGCACTATTAAATGTGGGATTCCCATTCTCCTAGTGCCACAGACTGTTCCAAACTCAGCTGAATGTCTGAAAGTTCTCTGTCAGTGAACTGTATTAGCCATTTTGGGATGATCTTCAACAATATTTTGCTTACATATGATATTAGTGATTTTTTTATAATTTCCATATTCTGTTGGAACACTTTTCTTGGGAATGGGAACAAATATGAATCTCTTCCAGTCAGTTGGCCAGGTAGCCGCTTTCCAAATTAGTGCAGATTTGTGAGCATGCCCAGGGCTGTATCTTTTAGTTGAAACATGGCAATTGGTATGCCATTGATTCCTGGGGATTTTTGCCAATGTCTTTAATGCAGCTTGAACTTCTTCCTTCATTATACTGGATCTTGATCATACGCTACTTCTGGAAATATTTCCGTGTTGACCAATTCTCTTTAGTACAATGACTTTTTTATTCTATCCATCTTTTGATGCTTTCTGAGTCATTCAAGATTTTGCCCATAGCATCTCTCAGTATTGCAACACAAGTCTTGAGTTTGTGGAACAGAGTATCAATTACTCATGTGCAAGTTCAAACCGAAGCTGAAGAAGATTAAAGCAAGCTTATGAGAACAAAAATATGACTAAGATTATCTCACCTCCATTTAAAAATCATCTCAATAAGTTTGAGGCACTGAGCAGTAATGATTGAAGGCCAGATGAGTTGTGGGATGACAGCAAGGCTATAATCCAGGAAAGGAGATCATTACATTGGAAAAGAAGAAAAGATCAAAATGGATGTCAGGGAAAACTAAAAATTTCACTAGAGCATCAAGCTAAAGCAAGGAGAAGAGATACATGAAAGACGTAAACAGAAGATTTCATATGGCACCTCAAGAAAACAAAGTGCAAAGTATTTTAACAGAATGTGCAAAGAGCTGGAGTAAGAGAATAAAAAGAGAACAACTTACTCAGCATTTCTCAACCTAGAGGACTGAAAAATTCATACTATTACACTAGTCTCTGGAAATTCGGAAATAGAAGACAAAATGGAATTTCCTGATGTCAAGTAGGTGGTTTGGGTTTGCCCAAGGACTCAATAGTGTAAGTTTTAGAATCAGTCCTTGTCAAGGATCCAGAACTGGCTCATAAGTGACCTTCCAGTGGGTTTTCGGAGATAGTAAGTCACATGGGAGGATGCTGCTCATCTTCTCTCTTGGAGCAGCTGGTAGGTAGATTTTAACAAAAGGCTTTTAAATTGGCAGTAAAATTGCTAGTTTTCACTATGAAATGCTTTGTCTAATCAACTAATCCACATGCACAGCATATTCTATAACAGTCTTTCTTTTCTTGGACACAAAGTTCTAATCCAGACAAAATTGGAGGTGAGAAGCCCTTTCTCATGGACACAAATTTCTAATCCAGACAAAATTGGAGGTGAGAAGCCCTTTCTCATGGGCACAAAGCAAAGACATCCATCCCACTGACTGGGTCAATATTGGATTCTTCAGTTTATTTATCATCAGGATAAACAAAGACACTGAGTTAAAGATGATGAATGAGTAAAGGAGGGCAAGTTTACATTCTAGGGTAGCTATTTACTAAAAAACTAATAGGGTATATGAATTACAAAAATATAAAGTAAAAATTACTAGAAATGTAGATAGTGAAGCAAACATGAAAGAACAAGGACTTTTACACTCTAGTCTAAAAGGAGAAACAGGAAATGGGGGGGAATGCAGTTTTCTTTTGAACACTAGATTGATAAAGAAAAAAATTGGACTGCTATTGTTGTTGTTATGTGTCATCAAGTCTCCTGTGACTGATAGCAACCCAACCCTGGTCTAGCCTGAGCTAGTCTCACTATCTCTGAGACACCAACACCCATAATCCTAGTTATTGTATCAAACCATCTTATCCAGGATCTTCCTCTCTCTGCACCCTTCCAAAAGTGATGTCCTTCGCCAAGGACTGGTCTCTCCTGGCCATGCGCCTGAAGTTTTGAAGACAGAGCTTCAAAATCATTGCCTCTGGGGAGCAGCTTGCTTTCACCCTCTCCAATACAGACCTATTTGTTCTCTTGGTGGTCCAGCATGGTGTGATCAAGATTCTCCAGCACAACAACTCAAAGGCATTGACACTTTTTAGTAAAATTTTTCATTTTCATTATTTTTTTTGTGTGTACTGTCAAATCAGATCTGACTGGTATAGGAGGAGATTGCCCCTCCTTATCCAGCAGAGCATCTGGTGGATTCAAACTGCATTCCTATGGAATTGCAGTGCAGCTTTTTGCCACTAGACCACCAGAGCTCCCCCTCTTTATAGTAAAATTTTAAATCAAAGAGATATGAAAGAAAGTAACAAACTTTGATTCAACAACTTACAGAACAGAGTTGTTAGATGCTGATACCATTGACTCATAATGCATAAAGTACGACTCATAATGACCCTCTGAACAAAAGATCTGAACCCTGGGCTACCCATGCCAACCTCACAATCTCCAATACACTTGAGCCCATTGTTGCAATTACTGAATCAGTCCATCTGATTGAGGATCTTCATCTCTTTCACTGTCCCTCCACCTTTCCAAGCACAATGTTCTTCTCTCCCAAGAATAGTCTCTCCTAACAACCCAAAGTATGTGAGAGGAAGCTTTATCATCTTTGCCTCCAAGGAGCACTCTCGCCACACTTTCTCAAGGCATATCTGCTTTGTTCTTTTGGCAGACCATAGGGCATTCAGTACTTTTCTCCAATACCATGACTCAGAGGCATCAATTATTCTTCTGTTATTCTTATTCATTGTGCAGCTCAGATGCATAGCAAGTGACTGAAAAGGCCATGTCTTCAATCAGGTGCATTATAGTCTTCATACTGTCATCACTTCTCCTCAATAATTTAGAGAGATTCTGACTGCAATCTTTCCCAGTGCAATATATCTTCTCGTCTCCTGACTGCTGGAATCAAGGAAATTGACTGTGGATGCAAGTAAGATGAAGTTATTGACAGTTTCAAACTTTTCTCCATTGCCTATTGATCCAGTGGTGAGAATTTTTGCTGTTTTGGTGATTTTTTTAAACATTGAAAATGCAATCCATATTGAAGGCTTCAGCCTTTGATCTTCTGCAGCAAGTGCTTCAAGTCTTCCTCACATTCAGCAAGCAAGGTTGTATCATCTGCATACCAAAAGTTACTGGTGAGTCTTCCTCCCATCCTGGTGAATAAGTATGGAGAAAGGATACAACTCTGATGCACACCTTTCTTAATTATAAACAACAGAATAGAACTGCCCACCGGGTTTCCAAGGATGTAGTGTTCACAGAAACATACTGCAACATATTTGTCCTGAGTGGTGGTTAAGTTTGAACCATCGACCTTTCCATTAGTAGTAGTTGTTGTTAGGTACCATCGAGTTGACCCTATGAACAATAGATCTGTAACTTGCCCTATCCCGCACCATCCTCACCATTGTGAATATGCTCGGACCTATTGTTGCAGTCACTGTTGATCCATTTTGTTGAGGGTCTTCCTCTCTCTCTCTCTCTTTCTCTCTGACCCTCTACCTTTCCCAGCATGTGTCTTTTTCAAGGACTGACCTCTCCTGACAACACGGCCAAAGTCTGTGAAATCAAGTTTACCATCCTTACCTCCAAGGTACACACCCTGATTGCACTTTCTCCAAGACAGATTTGCTTGTTCTTTTTCCAGTCTCTGAGATATTCAGTACACTTCTCCAACACCAAAATTCAAGGGCAATAGTAGGCAAGTCCTTCACCAGTGCACTAGCAGGAATCCTTAATAACCCCATGACTAAAGATATTCTGAGTGGCTTGCTTAGGTGTTTTGGTGGTGGTGTGGTGGTTGTCAGGTGCCATCAAATCAACTTCGACTCATAACAACTCCATGAACAACTCATCTGAACCTTGGCCTGTCCTGTCCCACCCTCATCATCTTTGATATGCTTGAGCCCATTCCTTACCTCTTAAGAATTTTAAAAATATTTTCAAAAATGTTTGGGGCAAGATCTAAATCTAAATTGGCATATGCCCCATTACTCACCTCCACACTTGGGGGTATCCCAATTGGTTTGGGCTTCACATCTATCAGGTAGAAAGTGCGTGACAGGAGTAAAAGAGAAGGTGGGACATTTTCTTTGAGGTGAAGGTCCTGCCACTGGAGAAGAAGAGGGGAATAAAAATACAGAATCGCAGAACACTCGAGCAGAAAGAAAATCTACTGCTTCCCTCCTTTACTGCTTCCCCAGGTTCATGCTGATAACTAACATCAGAACAAGTAGCTGTCTTCTCATAGACCAATTTAAGAAGGGAAAATATGAAAATAAATAATTCTTATTAATAGTCAAATGACCATTAAAATGATAATGAAATGTAAATACTCAAGCTTTAAAAATGTTTTATATCAATAACAAGATACAAAATTTTAAAAGTAAATAAAGTGCATTCAATAAGCAAAGAGCTATACAACATGATTTCAAAGTAACAGCAATTTTATTTCAGAGTAATTTTTCACACTGGATAGCTGTATTATGTGCCATCAAGTCAGCTGCTTTTCTAGCTATCCTATGAACAACAGATTAAAACCTCGCCCTATCCTGCACCATCATTGTAATCTGCCATGCTTTGCCAATCCATCTTTTTGAGGATATTCTTCACTTTCCCTGACTCCAAATTTCCCAATAGGATGTCTTTTTCCAAGGACTGGCTCCTCCTGGAAATATATCTAAAGTATGTGAGGCAAACTTCTACAATTCTTGTATCTTAAATTACACCCTGGTGGCCCTTTCTCCAAGACAGACTTGTTCTGGCAGTCCATGGGATATTGATTACTCTTCTCTCAAGGCATGATTCAAAGTCAGTTTCTTCTTCTGTACAGGTGCTTAGGAAGTAATTGAAAATACCATGGCTTGAATCAGGAAATTCTTGGTCTTTAAAATTGACATCCTTGCTCTTAAGCACTTTGGAGAGGACCTTAACAGCAGATTTTACCAGTGCAATACTTCTTTTGATTTCACTATTGCTACCAGGGGTGCTGACTGTAGACCCCCTAAAATGAAATTATTGACAGCCTCAAACTTTTCTCTATCATTATGTTGCCTACTAGTCCAGTGATGAGGATTTTTGTTTTCTTGACATTGAATATTGAAAGCTGTAGTCTTTGCTTTGCAGTAAGTGTTTCAAGACTTCTTCCCTATCTGTAAGCAAGGTAACAGAACTGCATAACTCGGCAAATGAGAATTCATGTCTGCATAACTCAGGTTGTTGTTGTTGCCAAGTCTTCCTCTGATCCTAATGCCACAGTTTCAAATAGCCCATCTTTTCTAATTATTTTTTTATCAGACTGAATAAGTATAAAGAAACTATATCACTGGACACATACATTTCCTGATTTTAAATCATGCAGTGTTGCTTTGTTCTGTTCTAACTGCTTCTTGCTCTCTTGTCCAGGTTTCACATGAGCACAACTGTTCTTGGAGTCCCACTCTTTTCAATGTTAGCCGTCATTGTTATGATCTACACAAATACCTTTACATAGTAAAAAACACAAACATCTTTCTAGTATTCCCTGCTTTCAGCCAAGATCTATCTGATAACAGTAATGATATCCCTCATGCCATGGCCTCTTCTGAAGCCAGCTTAAATTTCTGGCAGTTTCCTGTTGATGGACTGTTCCAGCCATTTTAAAATAATCTTGAGCAAGATTTTCTTTTTAAATTTACTCTTAATTATATTATTTTATAATTTCTATAGTCTGTTGGATTGCCTGTTTTTGAATGAAAACAAATATGTATTCCATGCAGTCAGTTGGTCATACAGTGGTTTTTCAAATTTTTTGGCACAACTTTGTAAACACATCAGGGCATGCATTTGTTTGTTGAAACATGCAAATTGGTAGTCAGTCAATTCCTGGGCTCTTATTTTTTCCCAGTGCCTTCAGTGCAGCTTGAAATTCCTCCATTATTGCCATTGGTTCTTGATCATATGCTACTTTCTGAAATGGTACAATGTCAACCAATTCTTTTCCATAGAGTGACTCAATACATCCCTCCCAACTTCTTTTAATGCTTCCTCCATCATTCAAGATTTTACCCAAGAAAGCCTTCAGCATTGCCACACAGCCTTAAATTTGTTCTTCAGTTCTTTCAGCTTGACAAAAGCCAAGTGTGTCCTTCCCCTTCTTTGTCTTTGAGCTTTCCTTTGAAATTTTAAGTCCACCCCTCACTTCAGCATTTCTTTCTTCCCTTTGTATTGGCTTCTCTACATTCTAGCGCAAATTTCAGAGTTTCTTCTGACATCCATTTTGGTCTTTTTTTTCTTTCCTGCCTTTGTAATGGCCTTTTACTACATGGATGTCCTTATTGTTATCCACATCTACTTTGGACTTTGGTTACTATGTACCACATCTATTATGGGGATAGTTTTTAATCCTATTGGGATAGACTAAAGTTCATATTTTGGTTCTCATGGACTTGTTTTCACTTTTCCAGCTTCAGCTTGAACTTGCACATGCGTGGTCTATTCCACAGTCAGGACCTGGCCTGATTTAGACTGCCAATATTGAGCTTCTTCATATACTTTTTGCATAGATATAGTAGATGTGAGTCCTCAGAAGTCCATCAGATGAGATCCATGTGAATAGTTAACATTTACATTTTGTTTTTAAAAGAGGATTTGCAATTAATAAATCATTCATTGGGCGAGCTCTGGTGGCCTAGTGGTAGGTAACTGCACTGCAATCCCAGAGGTGTGTGGTTTGAATCCACCAGATGCTCTGCTGAAGAAGGAGGAACAATCGCCTCCTGCACCTGTCAGATCCAATTTGACAGTACACACATAAAAAAAAATTAATAAATAAATTTAAAAAAATAAATCATTCATTGCACAAAATTTGGAGCATAGTTCTTAACGAGTTGTGATACCATTCTAAAGGCAGTGGCTGGAATTCACAAGCTGCTGCACAATAGAAAAATACACTATTTCCTATTGTTTAATTTACAGCCTCTGAAAGCCTAATGGAATTTGGGTCTTTTTTTTCTGACTCAATGACAATGAGATTGAAAGATGCACTTTATAGTACTTTTTACAATTATAGGTGCCATAAATTGCCCCCAAATATATCTATTACTTGACTGGGCTACAAATCTCATTGCTTTGGCAGTTACACAATGATGTAATACTTTTTCCATAATATGATCTTATGTTATCACTGAATCACTTACAATGGAATTAATGCAGGATGCATACTCTCTCTCACACCACAGCATTAATCAAATGTAAAGAGTGTTTCCCTGTGGTTCAGCTTGAATCACCTTTTATCTTAGAGGAAATAAAAGGAAAGAAAAGTATAGAGAGAAGGGGAGACCTGCCTCTTAACAAGAAAGAAGAGACAGGAGTAGAGCACATTCTTTGGACCACTGAAAATGTCCTAGATCCATACAAACTTTTTCCCAAGAACTATGGACATTCCCAAGGACGCCAGATTTGCAGATGTTAAAAAGTGACACAAGAACCCTGAGTTGATGGGCAGAGAGAACCTTCGTCTAGAGCTGCTGTCTCTTAACTTGTATTTCTAGTCTTTTAAATGGCGAGAGAATAAATTAGTTTGTTTAAGCCATTCATTTGTGACATTTCTGTTGTAGCAGCACCAGATAACTAAGATTTTAGTATTGGAAGTGGGGTACTGCTTTAACAGATATATCAAATGTGCAAGTAGTTTTTTTAATTAGTAATGAATACAGGCTGGATGTATTTTACTGAGTCTAACAGTTAAAACTTAGATTGCTTTTAAAAGACTGTTTGTGGAGTTTTAAATGCCAAAGACAACTCTGGTGAGAGCTCAGAAGGAAGTGAAGAGATCTGTACCACTGAGATGGCACAAACAGCAAGAAGCTGTGGCAGAGAAACAGTGGCAGCAGAGCCAGGAGACCAGTGAGAGATGGTGTAGGACCTGGCCTATGGTGCTCCTTTCAAGCCAAGGCTTACTGGAGAAGGTGGTGCCTTTAGAAATTTACTGATAGAACTGAAGAGCCGTTTAACATTTGACTGATCAGTACAGAAGTCTAGGCAACCCGAAAGGCCTCAGGGACCATGAGACAAGGGAGGAAGCAGAAGCTGAAGAGACAAGGAACAAAGGAAGCACAGCTGCCTCAGAAGAAAACCAGAGGGCCATGCCCTCTGGGGTCTCAAGTAGGGCTGTGGTCTCCTGGTCTTCAGAGTCAGATTTCAGTTGTGTGGTGCAGGGCAGCTGTCCACCAATGTCAAGAGAATGGAACTGGAGCTACTGCCCAAAGCTAAGCGGGTGGGGCTCATATTAAGGGGAAGAAGAACAGGGCCTGCTGGGGCTGATGGCCACCACCCAGCTGGACTAAGAAAATAGGGCGGCCCAAGCCAAGGGAGCAGCGATACTACCTACTACCGCAGTGAATCTGGGTGGTGGAGTTAAAACCCAAGGTTAAGGGACCTCTACCTAAAATCCACAGACTAAGGCCAATATCCAGAGCCTGGACGCCCAGACCATTGTCTAGAAGGTCTTAGAGAACAGAGGATTCTTTGCAAGCCTTGAGAGCTAATGTAAAATGTTTTGCTGGGTTTTTTAATTCCTTGGACCTGTTATCCATTTTTTTCCCTTTAATTTCTCCTATTGTAATAGAAATTGCCTATCTTATGCCTGCGCTGACATTATACTTTGGAAGCAGATAAAACATATTCTAAATTGCAGATGAAGAGGAATTGTGTCCCAGGAATGTGCATTTGGAGTTGACCTAAGACTTTTACGATGATCATTTGAGGTTTTTCAAGTGGCAAGGACATGAATTCTTAAAGGCCGAAGGATAGAATATCATAGATTGGATGGTGCCACCCCAAATATGTGTCCACTTGGCTGGACCATGACTCAGTGGTTTGGCAATTATGTAATGATATCCATTCCTTGGTGTGATGTAATGAGATCAGCAAATCAGGTGTAAGGAAATTAGGGAGGGTGCAACCCCCTTATGCATGTCAGAGCCCTGATCTCAGATGAGTTTCCCTGAGATATGGCTTACAATCACACTTTATTTCACAAGAGACGAAATGAGAGAGAAGTAAGCAAAGAAGGAGGGCCTGACTACCACAAAAAAGGAGGCAGAGCAAGGATTGCTGTATTGCTATATGCTGTCAAGTCAGAACGGACTCATAGCTGACCCTCTAGTGGTAGGGACCCCTCTAAAGTACTAAAGAGCAATGGTGTGTCTCTGGAGACTAAGGTGCATCTGGTACAGGCCATGGTCTTGGCAATCACTTGTTATGCATCAGAGAGCTGGACAGTGACCAGGGAGGATAGAAGGAGAATTGATGCCTTTGAGCTTTGGTGTTGGAGAAGAGTGCTGAGGGTACCATGGACTGCTAAGAAAACAAACAGATTCATCTTAGAGAGGGTTAAACTGGGCTGCTCCTTGGAGGCAAGGATTCTGAGACTTCGTCTGACATACTTTGGTCATGTTGTAAGGAGAGACCGGTCCTTGGAGAAGGACATCATGCTTGGGAGGGTGGAGGGCAGGCGCAGAAGGGAAAGGTCCTCTGGGAGGTGGATTGATTCAGTGACTGGGGCAATCGGGATGAGTGTGTCAGAGACAGTGCAATTGGCACAGGACAGAGCAGAGTTTAGAGCTGTTGTACATAGGGTCGCTATGAGTCGCAAGCCACTCAACGGCACATAACAACAATAACAACAACAACAAATCCCACAGGAGTAGACTACCCATCTTTCTCCCCCAGAAAAGCTGGTGGATTTGAATTGTGTGCCTTTGAGTTGGCAGTGCAACTCCTTACCACGGTTTCACCAGGGGTAGAGTAGACCACATCTTTTAGAATCTCCTAGTCTCAAGTGAGGATTGATATCAAGACCCATGGAAATTTCCAAGGTGCATCAGACACTTAGATATTGAAAGGAGACAAGGATCTTCCCCAGAACTAACAGAAAGAGCAAGCCACCTTCTAGAACTAGCTTTCTGAATTTTGACCTCTGCCCTCCTAAACTGTGAGTGAATAAATGTCTGTTTGTAAAAATCATCCTCTTGGGATATTTCTGTTATAGCAGCACTAGATAACTAAGGTATTAGGAATGATTTTTTTTTTCCCTCCTCTCAAACTTCCCCTGCTCTGGCTGCAGTCACTGCTTATAAGTATCACCTTGTGCCAAGCCAGGAATGATAATTTTAATAAGATTTACTCCTTTGATTTAGAGCACTGGGGCCCTTAATTAAAATATAAATATGTTATTTAAGGGAAAATATTAAACATCTGTTACCAGAATCAGCACTTCACATTGATTTGGAACACTAATTAGGAACATAGCCCATCAGGGTGGGAAGGTTCAGATAACAGATGAACTCATGTATATTTTCCCCAGACTCCTACTTTACCTATAGCAGGCCAACTGCTAAGACACTCCTGAGATTCTGGACCCCAAATTTATCCACCTTTTCTCCCAGTTATTCAAACATTGTTGTTGTTGTTGTTGTTGTTATGTGCCATCGAGTCGTTTCCGACTCATAGCGACCCTATGCACAACAGCTCTAAACCCTGCTCTAT